ATGTCGAAAAGAGAAGAACAAAAAACAATTGTTCATTCCAAGACTTCTTTATGTCCCTTCTTTTATTGAGAGAATCATTTGCTGTGGACTGATGTTTCATGGTGCTGTTAATCCATATAGGGACATAAACAATGGGTGACGGAAGTTCAATTTTCGGAATCGTCGAGCACCCGAATCTCGTCAAACTCATAGGATACTGTGCTGTCAATGGAGAAAGAGCGATTCAGCGTTCTGGTATACGAGTTCTTGCAAAACAAGAGCTTAGAAGATCATCTTTTCGGTCGGGCGTTCCCGCCTCTTCTTGGGTAACAAGATTGCATATTATACTCGGAGCAGCCGAAGGATTATCTTATCTGCATGAGGGTTTAGAAGTTCAGGTTCCTATCTAAAACACTAACTATGCATTTCGTTTCCTTACATGTACTAAAACCGCAATGCTTGGAACATATAAAACCGTGCTCTTTGTTTTGCTGGTCACTGGTCTCTGATTGTTGTTCTCGATCTTTGTTTCATGATGATGCTAGGTGATATATAGAGATTTCAAAGCCTCCAATGTGTACTGGATGAGAAGTTTAATCCGAAGCTGTCGGATTTCGGGCTCGCGAGGGAGGGGCCATGGCTGGAGACACGCATGTTTCGACAGCCGTTAGTATAAATGTTCATTCCCTTTGGGGCTATTCAGTAAGATGATGAATCCTTGCAGTACTGATGAAAGTAACAAGCTGTACTTGTTTCTATTTCTTGCCAGGCTGTAGGGACTTTTGGCTATGCTGCTCCTTTACATCGAGACCGGACACCTTACGGATAAGAGCGATGTATGGAGCTTTGGCGTGGTACTGTACGAGATTCTTACGGGCAGGCGGTCGTTGGAACGAGGCCGTGCAAAACCAGAGCAGATACTGTTGGATTGGGTGAAGCTCTTCCCTGCAGATGGTAAGAAGTTCAAGTCAATAATGGATCCGCGACTCGAAAACCGGTTTTCGATCAGTGCCGCTAGAGACATTGCCAAGTTAGCAGACGATTGTTTATCAAAAAGCCCCAAGGGCAGGCCGAAGATGAGCCAGGTGGTGGAGAGATTGAAGCAGATAATCCGGGTTTCGAACGAAGCGACCAATGAGGAGATCGAGAGCCCTGAGGTATCTGATACTGAGTCGGAACATAATTCGTATCAATCGGGCGGTTCCGAATCATGGAAAAGGCGAATGGCGCACCTTGCGAAACTCGGTGAACATGGAGAAGCTGCAAGTAGAAGGAGATTGATGATGTTGCAGAAGGCCAAAGTGGCTTAACTTCCTCAGAAAATGATGGCAGACTAGTCTAATGTTAAATATATCTGTTAATCTATATGAAAAACAAATAAAAAGGGGATAGAATCAAAATTTATCACATCCGCCACATAGATGTAAGAAATATTGTATATAAACATTTATTGAGTTAATTGCACAAGAGGTCCCTAAACTATGACTTTTTATTTTAAATTACTCTTTAAACTTTTAAATATTCTATCAACTTCCAAACTTTGACCCATTCTAAATTGATCCTTAAATTTTAATATATTTTATACCACTCCATAAACTATAAGCATCATTCTATTTTGATCAAATTATTAACGTGTCATTAATACTGTTGGTTTTCCAATGATCCTAGAAACTAAACTCGTGTTATTGTAAAAAAAAATTTGTTTTATAAGGTTTTGAAAATTCACATATAGAATTCTTAGTACCTTTAAAAACATATTAATTTTTTTAACCAGTAGAGTTAACAACACGTTAACAAAAAAAATTAAAATGAAATGATATCTATAGTTTGAAGGATGATATAAAGTGCTTTAAAGTTTAGGAACTAATTTAGAACGAGTTTTAAATTTTGATGATCAATTTAAAATAAAGACTATAGGTCAAGGACAGTCTGTGTAATTAACTTTATAAGTACGTGTGTGTTCTATTTTGAGAAAGTATAAACTCACCGTGAAAAGGTCCAATTTGAGTCGGCCCGGCTCTTTTTTTTTTTTTAATGAAATCTATTCAACATCATTTTGGCCTTTCCCACTCCCCGAATATAAATACCGACTGCGAACAATAAAAAACCACCAAAAAATATTATAAAAATTAATAATAATAAAAGACGCTAGGGATCTCGATCACCGATCTCGTTCTCTCCGGCGATACCTTTGTAATTGTTTCCGGTGAGATATTGAGTTCGGATCCCTTCTCGATACGATCCGTAGTGTCTGTTTAACCTAGATCCGAATCACCATGGCTCCAGTTTCAGCTCTGGCCAAATACAAGCTTGTTTTCTTGGGGGATCAGTCCGTCGGCAAGACCAGTATCATCACTCGCTTCATGTACGATAAATTCGATAACACTTACCAGGTATTTCTCTCAATTTTTACGATTCTCTTTGTGTTTCTTTGGGTTTTTATTCCGAGCTTTCTTATTAGTTTGGATCTGATCGTTCCTTTGATTTTTTTTGGTATTGATTAGGTTCATATTTCTTATAGTTTTGCTTGAGTTTCTTTGTTCTTTTAGATTCTAAGGTTATCTGTTTCTCGAATTTGTTAACCAGGCTACCATTGGTATTGACTTTCTGTCAAAAACAATGTACCTCGAAGATCGTACAGTTCGATTGCAGCTCTGGTAAGACATCAATTTTATGCTAAATTTATCTACTGTATTATGGATTTTTATGGGTTTATATCTAAACTGTGCTTACTAGTTGCACACAATTTAGATTCTTCTCTTTCGGAGTATGTTTGCATTTCTCTCCAAACTCTTGTTCTATTTAATATATATGTGTTGGGGGGGGACGCTTTACCAGTGAATGCGTTTTGCTGTATTGCTGTATCATATTCAGCATGAAACTATATTGCTGTATTCCTGGATTTTTGTTTGTCTCGTGGTTGGTTGAGTGGAAAAGAGGAATGCGTACAGCGGAGACTAGAAAATTTTGAAAGAAAATAAATTGAGTATGCATGGTTAGAAGGAAAGTAAGAGGAAAAAAATAGCAAAGATAGTCGTTTTCCATACTAATGAATGAAAACAATCATTTCCTTTCCTCTTTTTTCAACTCTAAGCAAATAACAGAAAAAAATTCTTTCCCTTTTTTTCCTTGCCAAGCACACTAATGGCAATAACAATTATGTATATATATATATATATTATCTTTCTATACATCATCGCCTTCAATTTTTCGTATTGTATATTTTCTTTTCACCTTACCAAGCAAAGCCAAAGGGTGCATTCGTATTTAGATGCTGATTTTGCATTTTGGTTTAATTTATTAGTTGGAATGCTTGATTTTGATGTCATAATATGAAGTATTTAGTAACATTGTTACCAAGGATTGAATACAAGATAGGTTCTCTGAGCTGTGTGTTAAGATTGATATCTTTAATCTGTATCTACTTAAATCTTTATTACAGGGATACGGCAGGACAGGAAAGATTCAGGAGTCTTATTCCTAGTTACATTAGGGATTCCTCCGTGGCAGTCATTGTCTATGATGTTGCAAGTATGTTGTCATTTCACTTTGTTGTCCTGATTTGGATTCCAGTTGTTATGTTTATGTATGTGCCCATTTTGTGGGATACACTCTCACAGATTGATATTCATCTGCTCAATTAAGTGCTTGAAGTTGCTAACTTTAATTTTGATGTTGTAGGTAGGCAATCCTTCCAAAATACTTCAAAGTGGATTGAAGAGGTGAGGACTGAACGCGTTAGTGACGTTATAATTGTGCTTGTTGGGAACAAAACCGATCTTGTGGACAAAAGGTAATATTAATTTGTTATTATGATTGTACTTTCTAGTGAAATTAAGTAGACAATTAATTTTCATTACTTTAATTTATGCATAAATAATTTCCCCAGGTCCTGAATTTAACTGCCTGATTTGTGTTTGATCATTGTGCATTTTGTGGTTGTTTTGACAGGCAAGTCTCGGTTGAGGAAGCTGAAGCCAAGGCTCTTGAATTCAATGTTATGTTCATCGAAACTAGTGCCAAGGCTGGCTTCAATATCAAGGTAGACCATGTTTAACCTATCATATGATTATTCCTATAATTTGACTGCATTCTCGATGCAGATTGGAAATTATTGTGGTTAGGCTTAGGTTAATGTATTGTCATATGGCATTGGCTTCTTTTTCATTTTGCCATGATATTATGATTTGAGACCAATCTTCTATTCACTGAAAGTTTGCTTAGTCTTTTTTGTTTCTCACTTCTTTATCAACTCCACTATATTTAGTGGAAGCAACATTTGTTCTTCAATTGCATGACAATTATTGCAAGCATTGCTTAAGTTACTTGGACATGGGTGTGAAAGTTGGGCAATTTCCAAAGTTTGTCCGTATATTTGGAGGGCCATATCTCCATACCCGTTTCTTTGTATTGCTCGAACATGGCTGTCGGATGCGAGTACTTGAAGAAAAATAGAGTTAAAGCAATATAGTTGCTAGCAAGTCCTCTCACACTTCCTGTTCGATGACAGGCTCTATTTAGGAAGATTGCGGCTGCTTTACCTGGAATGGAAACACTTTCTTCAACAAAACAAGAAGACATGGTCGATGTCAATCTTAAGTCTTCAAACCCAAATTCATCCCAGTCGCAGCAACCGGCTGGAGGATGTGCCTGCTGATGATACATACGTACCATACACAAAACACATGTCATTGATCCGAGGTATGTATGCTTTAGACATTTATTTCGTGCTTCCAAAAGTGTTCCTGTAAAAAAGGAAGGAAAAAAAATCTTCTCCCCTCCCTTTTTTGTAGCCATTGGGCATTTGGGTTTGATGGAATATTAATGAGAGAGGAGATTTTCAATTTTATCATGGTAGTTAGGGCTTGTCCAAACCTGTCCTATATGTGTACGGTTCTTGTTATCTCATTCAATTATGCTAACTTTGCTGCTACTCATATATCAAGTTTTGTAGGCTTTTGCTTGTTGGGTTGTTATTCGATCTGCTGTTGGTTATATATAGATACTTTGCATTATCTGAATATTATTTGCGAAAATTTTATTCAATACATGTTTAATAACTCGGCCTTGCTTTCGTTCTTTCACCTTCGGATCATCTTTCAAGCTTGACCAGCCAATACGTAGGCTCGCTTAATGCAGTCGAAAATGGGAACACAAACAATCATATACAGCGGTGAATCGAAGGTGTATTTGGGCGTGCGATTGTTAATTTTAATATAATTTTTTTAACTTCACTTTTCTAACATAAATTCGTGCTTCCGTTTTTACATGTGCAATAGAGTTCGATACTGTGAAAGATTTGGAGTTTGGTGATGTTAATAATAACGGTGTTGGTATTAACCCCAATATCATGAAATCAATTAGCTGTGAAGCTTTCACTTTTGTCCCAAGAGGGTCATCCATGAATTGGTTAATTTATAATGTCAATTTTTTAATATTTTTATAATTCTATATTTTTTAAAGTTTTCAGGTGTTGGATAAAATTGAGAGATTTTATAAATACAAATAGTTAAAATTCATTAATTTATTTAAAAATATAATCAAATAAATAGAATATATAAATATTAATAACTATGTTAAATTTTACTTCAGTACTAAATCATCAAAGGTTTTATTTTATTGACTTAAAGTATTCAAGATCGTTTTCTTAGCACAAACTCTAACGGTAATGGCTTGATATAGTTCAATTTCTGTTTGTAGGCCCTCAATTTAATATTCGAATTTCAAAAAATTCTCAAAAAAAATATATATATTGATTTCTCGTTTTAACAAGAAATCAAGTTGTTGACGTAACATTTTTACGGATTAAAATATCAGTATCATATATAATAACTTGATTAGTTTTTAAAATGACACATTAATATCTGATATCAATTTTTTTAAAATTCAAATATAAAATTGTTCCAATAAAAACTTGAGTATTAAGTTAAAAAATTATTAAATTTAGGGATCAATTTGTAATATCAAGCCAAGTGTAAATATCATTTTCCATGTGCATGTCTTCATGAGTGTCAAAATTTTGGACACCTGTTGACGAGACCCTAGTCTTCTGTCTTGGATACCATCGGATTAATGTTGTCCTAGATCACTCAAATGTTTGAATTTCCTCAATTTACTCCTGTATACAAGGCAGCAATTTACATCCACTCATGAAAATTTATCCCGAAACAAATCAAATATTCTTGATTTACGTATATTTTTACTTTTACAAAATATTTTAAAAAATCACGACGAGACGACATTGTCATTCAAATCAGAAAACCCTCGATAGTTAATTTCTAGTTAACTGTCTATTTAGATTTAAAATCACAGATAAAAAAGAGAACAAGCAACACAAATAGACAAACAAGATACGAATATACAATGTCCTCGAAATCTCGGCCAATAGCGCCGCCGCCATCAAACAGCACCGGGCAAAGACAATGCTTAAAATATGTAGCCAACAGTATGATGAGCGGATCGTGGAAGTTAGTAGCTATCGTTGCCACTTTTATTCTGAGCAAGATTCTTCACCAACTCTTAAAGCCTTTATCTCAACCTCAAATCATTTCTGATATTCTTGTATGTCTCTCATCTTTATTGTTTTCACACTTTGTATGATATGCAGTGACGGAACCACATCTTGGTGAGGGTATGCGTTATAATTGCATTTAATCCTTGTGACGCACGTTATCTTCATATACATGCAGGTAAGGATATTTCTTGCTTCGATGCAAGCCATACGAGATTCATTTGGGGATCAATCTGCTCTAAACATGGACAACGTTGTTGATTTTGGGATGATTCTATACACCTTCGTTCTAGGCTTAGAAATGGACCCTTACGTCATCTTCAAGTCACCGGCTCGCCATACGGTAGTCGCTTACGCTAGCTTGTTATTCACGTTTCTGTTAACCTCCGTTCTGACCCCATGGCTACATTATGGTACCAAGGAGAGCAACATGGTCGTCATAACCATCGTCCTTTCGGTCACTCTCGCGGGCACCCGCTCTCACATATTGACCCGACTCATAAAGAATCTCAAGATCGGGAAATCCGACATTGGTAAGCTCGCCGTCGTCGCAGGCATTCACTCCGACATGATAGGCATGGTCTTCCTCTGCGTCAGCTTCATATTTTTCCCCTTGATGAGGATTTCGACCGCGAGGGAAATGGTCAAGCACGTCGTCAAGATACTGTCGGCGCTCGTGATACAGACGTCGGTGGCGGCGAAGATCTAGCCGTCCTTCTTGGACTGGGTTAACAACGAGAACCCCGAAGGGAAAGCGCTCAAGGGGCCGCACCTGGTGTTATCCATGGCTTTCATGGCGATCATATGCAGCTGCGGCGCTTGGTTCGGCTACAACCCTTACCTGAGCTCGTTCCTGGCGGGGCTTTCCTTGCCGACGGAGGGGCGGATATCGAAATGGGCGATCAGGAATCTCAACTACATGTTGAGCCTGCTTTTTTACCCTCTTCTCTTCTTCTGGGTGGGACTTAAGATTGATTTCACGGAGTTTGAAGGGGCCAGCAGGCCACATGGGAAAGGTTTTTTGCGCTTTTAATCATACTATCGGTCGGGAAAGTCACCGGAACTGTCATCGGCGGGATCATGGTGAGTTTCCGGTGGCCGGAATCAGCAGCCATGGGATTGCTTTTGATGGTTAAGGGTCATTTTAACATATATTTCGCCGTTCAATCCCTCAGGGTTAGTTGCATTGCTTCTTACTAATCCAATGGCTAATGGTGAATTAACTCTATACATAGGACTTATTAAAACAAGTGATATTATATATAATTCATAAATATTCATGTCTAAATTTGTAGATAATAACATTTCATTAAAAAAATTACACTCCAATAAAAATTAAAAAATATATAATTAATTAAAAATGTATATTTAATGAATTTTCGGTGTATAAATTTTATGTACTATTAGTAAATCAGATTTTTAATGACATGTCATCATCTGATTTACTAATGATACATAGAATTATGTAACCTTGATATATTAAATATTAAATTCTTATATAGTATTATTGTGTGGTTAACTATTTAACCTAAAAATTTAGGGTAAAATACAATGACATATTTCACAAATAATTTTTAGGGTAAACATATATGTTAACAACATAAAATTTTTGAATGAGGTGAACACAAATATAATTTTAAGGTGGACATCATCAATAAAATAAATAATTAACCGAAAAATTTTGAATTTCGAGATGAACCCGCCATTGATAACTTACATTAAAAGTCAATAAATTATGTTAAAATAATCTTTTTGGTCCATACATTTTTAAATGTTAGAAAAATAATCGTTAAACCTATCAAATTTTTGCAGCATGGTGATATCGAGATGACAACTTGCATTTCAATGGCGCTTGTGAGCTTCCTGTCTATTGTGCACACCCCCTTCGTTGTGAATCACATAATTGAACGCGCAAGGCAGCTTGTCCCGGTTCAAAGGATGACCCTTCAGTGTCTGGACCCGACAACCGAACTCAGAATCATGCTCTGCGTTCATGGGCCTCACAGCCTGCCTTCCTAATGGATATCTCCAGGGGCAAACCTAGCCCCGGACTCCGCGTTTAAATCACCGACATGGTCGAGCTCACCGAGAAACTGGCGGCGACGCTAAAGCAAGACCAAGGGACCGACAACATGGTCGTGACCGACGAGTCGGTGATCGACATGATGGAGCACATCACTCAAGCTTTTCAATCTTACATCGACAAAGACGGCACCGGGATCACGCTTAGCCGGTCGCATGTGCTTTCGACGTTCAACGGCATGGCCAAGGATCTGTCTTCTCTGGCGGAGGACTTGATGGTTTCCCTCATTTTGTTGCCGTTTCATAAGAGATTGAGTGAGGATGGTTCCCATGATTCAGGCAGTCCTGGTTTTAGATATGTTAGTCGTAAGGTAACTAATTAAACACCTTCCTTTCCTAGCTTTTTTCATATCCGTGTCCGTGTCGGACATATATTCGAGTACGAGTCAAGTCGAATTGAATTATTGAAAGTTTAATTTCTCTTATCATTTTAGGTTTAAGTTGTTTTGGACTCGGGGGTAACTTAAAGTACAAGTTAGTTTAGATTAGTTCTGATTAGGGCTATTCAAAACTTGTCAATCAAGTTTTTCGTGTTTGATCATTTCAAAATTTTTAATTTGGGTTTGGTAATCAAGTTCGAATCGTGTCAAATTCAGATCATTTTAAGTTTGAACCCAAAGATAAAACATTAAAAAAAACATGAAAGTTGAACATATACCTATATGAATATACCCAACATAGCAATTCAATTAAGTATTGGTTCTTGGTTATTTTCGCCAGTTGCTTGGACATGCTCCATGTTCTATTGGAATTTTGGTGGAAAAAAGGATCCGGTTTTGCAGAAAAACTCACAAAATCATCCCAATGTAAGGCGGCAATCATTTTCATTGGAGGCAAAGACGATCGAGAAGCATTATCCTTCGCGGGCCGAGTCGCATGGCATCCGGGAGTAGAGCTCACGGTCATACGGTTCCTCCTCGACACGAACTTGGAAAACATCCCGAGGAGATTGATCGGTCTTATAGACATAGCGGAGGAAGAAGCAGAGACGAAGCTCGACGACGAGAGCTTCACGGAGTTCTACGAGAAATACGTAGCGGGTAGGAAAGTGGCTTACACGGAGAAACATCTAGCGAATTCTTCCGAAACATACATAACCCTCAGGTCGTTGAAAGGGCAGTATACACTCATCATCGTGGGACAAGGTGGGCGAGTGAATTCGATATTAACACTCGGACTTAACGATTGGCAGGAATGCCCGGAATTGGGTCCAATCGGGGATGTACTTTCGGGGTCGGGTTTCGAGTGCGAGTCCTCGGTCTTGATCATCCAACAACATAGATTGAAAGGGCAAATAGATGGCTTAAATGATGACTTCTCCATTATGTAAAATGGCCTAAAATCCATAGATTTAAAACTTTAG